ATGTTACGGTTTGGCAAATCATTTAGAGATTAGCTGAGTTTTAATACCTGATTGGGAAAAGAAACAGGAAAAATAATTGAAAAGAGAATAATTTTGGCTTATTTAATAGGTTTTTTGCCTTTGTGTTGAAGGTAACATTTCTGAAAAATGAGGGTTGAAATTCTACAGATGTTTTCTGGCTCTGCATAAAGAGCAAAATGAATTTGATATTAATATTTGAATTGTTTTAGCCATAATAAAGACAAGGTATCTAAATAACCTCATGCCTAGACCTCTGCCAATTTTCTACCACTAGATTTCTTTGCTTTGAATCTTGGGAGCCTGGGCCAATGGAACTTTCATTCTACCTGCTGTTTATTACAACAATCTCCTAGTTTACATCTGGCCTCATATCCCCACTGAAAAGAAGCCCACCCCCAATGTGAGGATTTTTTTTTTAAGCCCTCTGTTATATCCCCAGTGCCTACACCAGCACCTGGCACTCTTTAAACACTCAATACTGATTTAAAGGATAAAGCTACCCATCCTATAAATTTGGGCAAATATAAAGGACAGCAATAAAAATAAAAATTTATGGAGAAAGGGATATTAGGCCAGACCTTGAAGATACTGGTATTTTTTGCCCTAAAAACTAGCACGTGTTCCTAAAGCTAATCTATTTCTCTCAACAGCACTTATTCCGGTTTGCCCAACAGAATCTACGCTCTTTGAGTATGAAGGGATATAAATATTTTTTAAAAAACTGTACCTGATTGCTTAAGCTAATTTAACTGTGTTTTTTTTTTTTTTAAGTGAAATACAGATGCTCACCTAAGCTACAGTCTTAAAATCTGTGGGCATAAAATACTCTTTATAAAAATATATATAGTATGCAAATATGTTAAGCCTGAAATTTTAAAAACTATAAAAATAATGAAGGAAAAATTTGTTTATGGATGGAATTAATAAACATAAAAGTAAAATGATTCTGAAAAAAGAAAAACAAAAATAAAATCAAAGTTGGGTCTTGAAAAGCAGAACAAACTCCTAGAAAGCCCATGTAAGAAAAAATATAGATAGCATTACAATGAAAAAGGAAATTTAAAATAATAAAGAGATTAAGAGAATTACTAGAATACTGATCAACTTTATAAAAAGAAACCTGTAAATCTAAAGAAATAGTTGCTATGTTAAAAAATTTCTATTTCCAAACTTAATAAAAGGTAGAGAAAAGTTATCAGATCTATAACCATATTACAAATCCAAATATTTTCTAAAGATCTACCACTAAATAAGGTTATCAGGCTTAATTTTATAGGCCAGTTGTATACAATCTACAAGGATCAGAGGATTCCAATGTAATTCTCATTCTAAAGTACAGAAAACAAAAACTTGATTCCTATTTCAAAAGTGACATATAACCCCAATTCCAAAAGAGAGAATTAAAAAAAGGAAAACATTTCAAATATGAAATCCTAAATAAAATATTTGCAGTATAGCAAACACAGTATTTGTTACTATTACCTATATGACCTTGGGCAAAGTATTTCACCTCTCCTTAGTTTTTTCACCTGTAAAATGGAGATCATGACAGTACCCAATGCATGAGGTTGTTATGAAGATTAATTAGTAAGCATCAAATTCTTAGAATAGTGTTTGGCATATAACAAATGCTCAATAAGTGTTAGCTACTATTATCCCAAGAACCAAAAAGCAACAGAATACGTTGCATTATCATGTTAAAGTGGAAAATGAAATCTATAAACAAATATTTGATAATTTTTTTAAAGTAGACATTTTAGAAAATCTTTAAATAAAACAGGTATAAAGCGCAATCCCCTAAACATTTGAAAGGCTATTTATTACAAGCCAATAGCACAAATTATAGTAAGTGTTAAAATACTGGTCATCCTCATTCAATTAAGTAAGAAGACAAAGATGTTCATTATCATCATGATTATTCCATTTTTTTTGGAATACATTAATGAAACAAATACTGGAAAAGATGAAATTATTATTTGCAGATGATATAAAGCTAGAAAGTCTAATAAAACTATTAAGATATTTTAGTCAGAATCTAGATAAAAGATGTATCAAAAATCAGCATCTTTTTTTTTTACAGTAGCAACAGCAAATTAAAATTCTAAAGGAGAAAAAGAGAACTCACATTAACAAAAATTACTTAATGCCCTGAAACTTAAGACTATATGATAAATTTTATAAAATTCCACTGAACATAAAATACATTATTAACTACCACAGCAACATCCGTATCTTCTCATTCAAACTAGAAACGTGAAATCCCTCTCTTCACATCTGAAATGAGTCACTAAGTCCTGCCTATTTCACCTCATCTGTATTTCTCAAATTTGTCATCACCTCTTTGTTATTTCCACTTCAATTATCCTGGTAATCCTTTGGAAAGACTGCAGCAAATTAAACATCCTCCTTACTTCTATCCTTATCTATCTCAAAATCATAGCTCACTCACCTGCCAGACTAATCAACCTAAAGCACAAACCTAAAGAGATCAAGGCCCCATTTTTAAGCCAGCAATCACTGAATTCAGGATCAAGAATAATAAGGTCTTTAGTCATCTGGACCCAACTTCATCTCCCCCTCCTTCTCATTTTGTGGGCCTAAAATAAGGCTCTGTGTTTCTCACATTAGGATATATGAGTATCTCAGCTTCAATACTTTATTGCTTCTCAAAGCTACCATCGTGGTACATCCTTCTAAACTTCCAACGTCAATTTTTGAAGATTTTTGAGAATGACACTATTTTATATTAAAGATGAATATCTTACAGAAGAGAATGAAAATTTTCTATCACTGCTTCAGTTAAAGTGCAAGGTTTTAAAGAAAGAAGGCATTTATGACTGGCAGCTTTGGCATCTTCCCTTGGCTCAGAATTAAGTATGAAGATGACGCACTTCTTATTATTACTGAGAAGTCTAACATTACCCTGTTATCACTGCATTTGCCAATGAACCAGGAGGTAACTAACACCTGCTGGGAACAGAATTATGCCAGTCAACCGCTCTAAATTTTTTAAGTTGATTAACTCATTCCGTAACGGTTTGCACCAATTGACGCGACTTCACTTTCCCTGCTAAGCTCACCCTTGCTCTCTACTCCAGTCAGGGCAGCATCCATCCTTGCCATCCGTGACCCACTTCCTTCTAGTCCCACCTCAGGACCTCCTCCCCCGGAGAGCATGGCTCTGTCCTTCAACTCCTTGAAGCACTTTCTCTATCCTGACCTCCCAACTCCCTTCTTCGTAAACACCTTTACTCTCGGAAAAGGATTTCTGCTACTTTTTCTTTCTCCATCTCACTCTCATTTTTTTTTTTACCCCTACTAGAATGTAATCTCCTTAACATAGGACTTTTTATTCAATAAATCTTTCTAGTGCCTAGACAAGTACCTCGTCCACTGCAGGCTCTCTGCAGACTCTCGATCATCAATCATTACCGACTTTATCCTATTAAACAGGTACTACTGCCAGCTGGGATTTTACCTAAGAAAGAAACTGAAGCAGTGAAGAGTCTGCCTTATGGTCACATTGTAAAAGGTGGAACTAGAGTTTGTCAGCACACAGCCTGGCATCGCTCTTTGGCATAACCTCAGGAGCCTCCAGAACTCAGGTGGATTCCCTATGGAGTCCCTATTTAGTACATTCCTCTAATTAGACAGTTGCTTCCCAGGAGGGGGGGGATACTTCATCTTTGTTTTCTCGCCACTTCTAACCCTCAATCATACATCACTAATTGTTTACAGGATGAATGAACCCATAGATACATGAATCACCCAATTATTTTTACATGGATGTCTCCGTTAGCCAGATTAAGACCTTCACATGTAAAAATGTGTTGATATAAAAAGGACCGCCTTTAAAAAAAAACAGAGTGATGCTAAATGTTTTAATGTATGAAGTACTGCCTTTAAAGAGTGATGCAGAAAATATTTCCTTTGACTTGACAAAGACTAATGACGAATGATCTAATTAAAAAGGACGTGCAAAAATTAAAAAAAAAGGGAAAAAAAACTAATTAAATACATTAATAAATAAAAGGGACATGTACTCTTAACAATTTCTCCAGGCTGGTTTTTAAGGCTCGATTCAACGTCAGCAGACATCAGGCAGAGAGAACGCTCCAGAAGCAGCTACTTCGTTCATCGTCTACACACATGCACAAGAATTCTCTCGTATCACAGCGCCGCAACCCGAAGCGCCCCTGTTCACAGGCACCGAGATTCGGAAAACACTTGATCACGCCGGATAAAAAAAACTAAGATACTCCCATTTACGAAAAATAAAAAAATAAAAAAATACTGACGCTCGTGGGAACACCCTCGGCAGCAACGCCTGGCCCAGCAGTCACCGGGAGCTGGCTGGCTGGGAGAAGCCGGACGACTACCTCAAGGGCAGGACGGCCTCGCCACAGAATCCCACGGTCACAGGCTCGCTCTGAAAAACAAACATTGCTGAGGAGACGGGGCGGACGGGGGCGGGGGGGGGAAGAGTCTAACCACAGGCCCCTCCCAGGCCGCCTCCCAGTACGGAGCCCAGTATTCTCCTCAGAACTCCTCACCGTGTCTAGACTAGGGAAAAGCGACCATTTCTCAGGTAGACGCCGACGCACAAGTGAAAAAGCCGGCCACCCCGCGACAAGGCCGAAGGAGCAAACGCACCAACACCGAGAGCTCGGCGCAACCGGGACGCCGCCGGCGCCCAACCCTTCGCCAAGTTTGAGCCGCAATCACATTTCTCGCGAGATTCATCGCCTCCACGCGATCTCGAAGCTGAAACCTCGCGGCTTTTCGGCTCGAGCGAGGGCCGGGTGGGGAGCGGGAAGGGGGTTCTGGAAGGACAGCGCTCAGCCCCCTCGGGGAACCCGCACGCCCCCTCGACCCGCCTCCCCGCTCCCCCCCTTTCTTCATTGAGAGCGGTTCCCCCAGGGTGCCTAGGGACTTCCGGAGCGCTACCGGAACCGGAAGCCTCGGGAGTCAGGGGGTGGAGCTGGGAAGAATCAAAAAAAAGAAGCGCGGCGAGAGCTGGCGGCCGGAGCGGGCGGGCGGCGGGCGGGCGGCGGCGCCCATGGACTCCACCGCCTGCTTGAAGTCTCTGCTGCTGACCATCAGTCAGTACAAAGCGGTTAAGTCGGAGGCGAATGCCACCCAGCTTTTGCGGCACTTGGAGGTGAGGGGCTCCCCCGTAGAAATCCTCAGGTCGCGGTGCGGCGGCGGTGGAGCGGCCCCCAGCCGCGCCGAGGGGACTGCGCCTCGCGACCCCGGGAGGCTTTTCCTAGTGGGGAGGGAGGGAGGCGAGTGTCCGCCGTGAATGCCCAGCCACCTGCCTACCCTGCCGCGGGCCCTCCGCGGGGGCGGAGGGTTGGGGAATCTGAATTCGGCTCTTTGGGTTTGGTTGTGGGGAGAGCTCGGAGCTGCACGTCTTCCTTCATTTCTTTGTCTTTTTTTTAAAACTTTTTATTTGTTTATGATAGTCACAGAGAGGGAGAGAGAGAGAGGCAGAGACACAGGCGGAGGGAGAAGCAGGCTCCATGCACCGGGAGCCCGACGTGGGATTCGATCCGGGTCTCCAGGACCGTGCCCTGGGCCAAAGGCAGGCGCCAAACCGCTGCGCCACCCAGGGATCCCTGTCTCTTTCTCTCTCTTTTTTTTTTTTTTTTCCATCGCAACAGAGCCCTTACAGAATAGAGTACACAGCAATTCTCCGGGGGTGCAGGTGATAAAGAGGCGACGCTTAGGCAGTTTGCGACCTGAACCGGTTGATTACCGCTTTTCTTATAACTCATGTTGAAGGCATATTTGGAAAAAAAAAAAAAAAAAGTAACTTTGAGTTAAGCAGTCTCATTAGGAATAGTCTTTTTTTAAAGATTTTATTTATTTATTCACAAGAGACACACACACAGAGAGAGGCAGAGACACAGGCAGAGGGAGAAGCAGGCCCCATGCAGGGAGCCGGATGTGGGACTCGAACCTGGGTCTCTAGGATCACGCCCTGGGCTGAAGGCGGCGCTAAACCGCTGAGCCACCCGGGCTACCCCTCTGGTGGTTTGGTTTGGTTTGGTTTGGTTTTTAACCAAAATCTATTGCTCAGAATTTTTCAAGCCTATATTGCTAAATTGCTTTCATTTTTTTTTTCCTATTCTCACTGATTTGTATCTAGATCACTTATCCACAGCTTTCTGTGTTCCGATTTGATTTTAGGCTTTTAACCTATCATTTATTGCATATTCGTGCAATTCCAACTACCGTTGACCCGAGTTTAGTAAACAGGTAAGTTCAATCAAAGCTTGTTTTAGGGGATCCCTGGGTGGCTTAGCAGTTTAGCGCCTGCCTTTGGTCCAGGGCGCGATCCTGGAGACCCGGGATCGAATCCCACATCGGGCTCCCGGTGCATGGAGCCTGCTTCTCCCTCTGCCTGTGTCTCTGCTTCTCTCTCTCTCTCTCTCTCTCTCTCTCTCATGAATAAATAAATAAAATCTTTAAAAAAAAGCTTATTTTAATTCTCTCTGTTGCAGCATCTGTTAACATAAAATTGGACATAACTATAAGATCTATTTGTTATAGTAACTCTGTGATATAAAGGCCAAGTTACCAAAGATTGGCAAGATACATACTACAGAGAGAAGACAGTCATGAATCCTATGGCAACATCAGTCTTTGGTGATACTGGGATGCATTAAATATGCCTCTGTTTTCTCCAGCCTCACTGATGCTCCTTCTTCAGACTTCAGGTGCCCACTCTCCCTAAGTACATTTTCTTTTTTCATTCACCACCTTAACAATTTCCTGCAAACCTAATAATTAAGGTATTAGCTGTTAAATGCTAAGGCTTTGCCTTTCAAGCAGAATAGACCAATGTGCCAGAGAGCTCCAGACGCCACTTGGTTATAAGCAGTTTTATGGAAGAAGCAGGAGTACAGCATTTTAAATACTAATCTGAAACATCTCTGAGAAAAAACAGGTATGCCTTGAATATGAGAGCCATGTTACAGTGAATGGAAGGAAACTCAAAGAAATTTGAGGCTTAAAGACTGACTCCTTGATACTGCATTTGCAAGCTTTGAAGGGGTTGGCTGAAAACTACTTCTGCCATTTAGAGAGAACATACGTGCAAGTGCATAATGTGCGTTAATCCTAAGTGAAGACTGAGCTTTTAGCATACGTGAACAGTCAAGTAGCTACCACTTGTTTCATGATACAGAGCATTTCCAGTCCCCTGTAAGGTTTTTTCCATTGTACCTTCTCATGTGGTTCAGATAAGTTGACTCATACAATATGTACTTTTGTGTCTGGCTTCTTACATTCTATAAATCTGTGAAATTTATTTTTGTTGCACATGTGCTAGTACTTCATTCTTTTTTATTGCTGCAGAGAATTTCACTGTATAAATGTACCACAGCTTATGTACATTCTTCTGTTGCTGGGCAATTGGGTTACTAGGTCTAGGTGGAGTTTTGAATAAATCTGTTATAAACATTTTTATTCTATTTTTAAATATATGCACTCATTTATATACCTACGAGGGGCATTATTAGGTCTTATGGTAGGTATATGTTAAGTTTCAGTTGAAATTGCCAAGCAGTTTTCCACAGTTTTACACCATTTTTAGCTTCATATCAGCAATACATGAAATTTGCTGTCACTCATCCATGTAAATTGCCGGTGTTTTCAGATTTTTAAATTTTAACTGTTTTGGTGGGTGATGTTAATGATGAATATCTTTTTTTTTTTAATTTTTATTTATTCATGAGAGAGGCAGAGACACAGGCAGAGGGAGAAGCAGGCTCCCTGTGGTGAGCCCGATGGGGGGGGGTCTTAATCCCAGATCTATTCTGAAGCGTTCTTATCAGCAAAGCTTTAAAAGAAAAACTGACATCTGAGTGAGGACATAAAGAGATAGAAAAGATTAGAGGGATACTAAAACAGCCTGCTTAGACCTTTATCTTTTTAAAAATGAAAGTGTTTAGAACAGATTTTATCCAGTTCTAAAGTAACTACTTGTTTTCCCATCCTTCTAGAAAAGATATATATCTATATAGAATAGTTAGGCTTTGAATAACATTCAGAAAGCTTTGAAAATACCTGGCTGTTGAGGCGCCTAGGTCGCTGTCCATTAAGTGTCCGACTCCATTTATCACTTTCAATTATCAGTGGGAATCTTAATATAGAAATTATTTTCATACTAAATTTGATTATCCTGTGCTCAAAAAATGGAGGGAATGGGAAGCTACACCACTATAAAGCAGTGCTGTGAAACAGACTTCCAGGAAAGTGATTTTTTTTTACGATTCTCTTTTTAAGTAATCTCGACACCAAACATTAGGCTTGAACTCACAACCCTGAGATCAAGAGTTGAGTGCTCTACTGAGCCAGGGGCCCCTGGGGAAGTGATTTTTTAACAAGATACTCTATAATAACTGAGTAACTAAACATGCTAAACTAGGTTGCAAGGTTTACCTCTTTTATCTTGAATTACACTCTATAGGAATTCTATAGGATAACTACTAGCAGTAAAATACTAAAATTAGACAAGATGGATTAATTTTGGGTAAAGCTTTTTATATACCATTTATGAAAGCAAGCAAAGATCCCTTGACTCAGAGTACCTGTTTTCTGGTGTGGATAATTGTATTTGCTCTTTAAATTTTATTAATTTTGTTTTAATTTTGTAAAGATTTATTTATTTATTTATTTATTTACTTACTTACTTACTTATTTAAGAGAGAGAAGGAGAATGCGGACGCAGAAAGAGAGAGAAAAGTAGAGAGCCTGATGTGGGAGCTCAATCCCAGAACCCTGAGATCATGAATTGAGCCGAAGTCACTTAACCCACTGAGCCATCCTGACGCCCCTATTGTCTTCAGTTTTATTTATCTAAGTAATCTCTACACTCAACTGTGGGGCTCAAAACACATGACTCTAAGATTAAGAGTCCCATGCTCTTCCAACTAAGCCCGTGAAACCACCCTGCACTTTTTAAAAATTTTTTACTTAAACTCAATTGCCAACATATAGTATAACACCCAGTGGTCATCCCATTGGCTCTTTAAATGTTAAAGAAAAGTGTACTTTGGGACTTACATATATGCTTAACCCTTTTTTTTGCTTTGACTTTTGGCCCATGGATCTGACTCTAGCCAGGTTGATCTCCTTCTCATTCTCATAAGATGGACAGTGTTAGTGGGAGGACCTGGGAGAGGACAAATGTGCCTTATCTTTCCTGGAGATGAAGCAACAGTGTCCTAGTGTGAAGGTCATGCTATTCTCCCAAGTTCACAGGGCTTGCCATGGAAGAGGTGTTGGCTAGCAGCTAGCTGTAAAGGACATTGTTACCATCACAGGGCTGCAGAGGTGTCTGTTGTTGCTGGAGTTGTAGTATTGAGGGCATGCTATAGAAGGTACAAGTGGAAAGGAATATTAGAGATGCTTTCTTAAGCCAGTAATTTCTCCAGTGCAGTGATTATCTGTGAAAATTCAGGTTTCATTATGCACATGTGGTATTTGGTAAACAGAAATTTATGTTTATCAATGATTGTTTCTCTCTCTTAAGAATTGTTTTCATCCTGGAATGCCTGGGTGGCTCAGTGGTTGAGTGATCCGGCTCAGGGTGTGATCCCGGGATCCAGTATCGATCCCACTTTGGGCTCCGTGTGAGGAGTCTGCTTCTCCCTCAGCCTGTGTCTCTGCCTCTCTCTCTCTCTCTCTCTCTCTCTCTCTCTCTCTCTTTCTGTGTGTGTGTGTGTGTGTGTGTGTGTGTGTGTGTGTGTGTCTCATGAATAAATAAATAAAATCTTTCAGCTCAGGTCATGATCTCAGGGTCCTGGGATTGAACCCCCCATTGGCACTCAGTGGGGAGTCTGCTTTTCTTTAAAGAAATGAAAATAAAATACCTGGCTGTCTAACAACTGTTTTGGCCTTTAATCTCAGCTTCATCTGTTCACATGGGAAAGGGGAGGATGGTTTATAGAGTTAAGAGAGAGGAGTAAAAACGGAATAACCAAAAATAAAATTTGTCTATGCATGACCTGGCTACTTAAAAATTTTTTTTTAATTTCCATTTTTGTAATCTCTAACTTCTGCTCAGCTTACTGACTTTGAAAGGAACAAAAGGAATAACACATAGTTAGTCCCATAGCTCCTTTTCACTTTGCTTTGCCTCCCTCAAAATAGGTGGAATGCATGTACAGGAATTCATTTACTCAATAAATATATTGTAGTAAAGTGTTGATTTATACCCTATGCCTTCATAGGGTGTTCAGTGTAGTAAGGAGGAAAATACTGCTAGGTAATCAAAAGTTTGGCAGCTCATAAAATAAAAGTATAATTTATTATCAGTATAATGGGCAAACCTAACCTAATTGGTGGAAGAGGGTTAGTGGAAAGCTTCAGGAGGAAACACATTACAACTCGGATCTGAATGATTACATTAGCTAGTGAGAGAGGAGATAGGTTGTCTTCCAGGGAAGGAACAGAATTTGACTTTTCTAAATTGGAAAAAAGCATGGCAGTGGCAACTGAGTTCTTACTTGAAATGGAGAAGAGACACAAATTGCCAATTCTTAACTAATGCATTTTAATTACAATTTTGTAGGTAATTTCTGGGCAGAAGCTCACACGATTGTTTACACCAAATCAGATATTACCAAGTGAATGCTTAAGTTGCCTTGTGGAACTACTTGAAGACCCAAGCATAAGTGCACCACTGGTCTTAAGTATCATCAGCTTGCTATCTCAACTAGGTAATGTATTTAGGTTCTCTTTTTCACTTTTTAGAAGATGTTGCATTTAATATTTTTTGAAGGGCAGATTTAGTTATAGTATCTCTTGGTAAATGATTCACATTCAAAAGATTTCTTCATCAAAAAAAAAAAAAGATTTCTTCATCACAGGACCTTTCAGAACTTTATGCATTGTGGATCCCTTGTAAAGAAAATATTACTGTATATATCTTTTCTTAAAATGATCAGAACAGAGAATCTGAAGCATAGCAAAGGTCTACAGAAAAAGAATGCATCTTGGGAAGTGCTGGCCTACTTTTTGAATTAAAAAAATACATTCACATAATGCCTGTACTAAATACATCACTCAGAAAAGTCATAGCTAGTGATAAAAAAAAAAAATCAGGCAATTTTGATAGACTATACTGAACTCAGAGCTATGGGTAAAAACACATTTTTCTACTTATTTCTATCTTTAGTTTTTAAATTTTTATGTCATCGGTCCTTTTTTCTTGATACATGCTTGAGAGTGGAAGGGAAATAATTCTGTGTGTGATTATAAAATTAATGCATGCTTATAAAAAAAATCCCAGTGATCCATAAATAATACCATAGACCAACATGTCCAGTGGAACTCTCTGTGATGATGGAAATGTCCTACATGTGTATTGTCCACATAGGGCTATTGAGCATTTGTAGTGTGAGTAGTAATTGAAGAACTAATTCTTGTAATATTTATTTAAATTTAAATAGTCACTGTGGCATAGCATCTACCAACTTAGCACAGATACACAGTAAAATAGAAGGAGTCTTTACTCATCACCACCAACCCTCATTTCCTCTTTGGTAGATAGTATTTGTTAATGGTTTCATAGTTGTTTTTCTAGATCTTTTTCTATGCCATAACAAATAATTTTAGAACTTATTTGATTAGGTTTTTTTTAAAGTTTTTATTTATTTGAGAAAGAGCATGCAGGTACACACACAAGGGGAGGCAGGGGCAGCAGGAAAAGGAGAAGCAGACTCCCCACTGAGCAGGGATCCAGGCTTGGACTCCAAACTCCGAAGATTCCAGGCTCCAACTCTGGGCTTTCTTGATTCCAGTACCTTGAGACCATGACCTGAGCTGGAGGCAGCTGCTTAACCAACTGAGCCACCCAAGCCTCCAATTAACAAATAGTTTTGATTGTTCTTTTAAAAAATGGTTTGCGGGCAGCCCGGGTGGCTCAGCGGTTTAGCGTCACCTTCAGCCCAGGGCATGATCCTGGAGACCCGGGATCGAGTCCCGCATCAGGTTCCCTGCATGGAGCCTGCTTCTCCCTCTGTCTGTGTCTCTGCCTCTCTCTGTGTGTGTGTCTCTCATGAATAAATAAATAAAATTAAAAACAAAAACAAAAACTCTTAAAAAATAAAAATTAAATTAAAAAAATAAAAAATGGCTTGCAGAGCATCAGATTTTTTTTTTTTTCACTTAGCATATGTTAGCTATCTTTCCATATTGGTGTCTTTTTAATAGCTGCCATGTACCATATTGCTGAATACTATAATTTATTTAACCACTTTCCTAATGGTGGGTACTTATATATGCTCTTTTTTGAGTTTTTGCTGTCAGAAGCAATACATTTTTATGTGGTTTTGCTCAAATGTTAGTGTATTTCTGTTGCATTAATTTTCAGTTTTCAGGTCATTTTTCAATTTGATAGCCTTTACTAAATTACTTTCCAAAAAAGTTATGCTAATTTTAACATCCACCAACCTTTTGTTTGAGAATGGCAGTCATTTTCAACATTTAAATATATTAGAAATTTTTAAAATGATAGTCTTTTTATTTTATTTTTTAAGTTTTATTTTTTAGTTAACAACCTTTTATTCTTTAGAGCAGTTTTAAATTACAAAAGAATTGAGATAATTTTTAACCGCAAAACTTCTACAAATATGTAGGGCAAGTTTTCTTCCTTTAATTTAGTCTACATAGAAAAATCATTTGTTTATTGACAAAAAAGGAAAAGCTCATACTTCTCTCTTCCCATTCCCAGCTTATATTATTTCTGTGATTAAACTTCTGAATTGGAAGGTAATTAAAATTATAGCCATATTGTATTTGATATTTTTAGACATAATAAATGTAACATGAAATTTAAGATTATCTTTTATCCGTGAAGACCATATATAAAAATGATGTTTGGTGCCATTTTATATTAACTTACAGCTGTAGACAATGAAACCAGAGACTGTCTTCAGAATACCTATAACCTGAATAGCGTGCTGGCAGGAGTGGTTTGTCGAAGCAGCACTTGCCATAGTGATTCAGTGTTTTTGCAGGTATACACACCTACACAGTACTCTTCACTTAATACTTGTTTTTCCTTCTTTATTTGCAGATCAGAATTGACAGTATGTATTGTAAGTGGCTAATTTACAGTATACATGCTCACATAATCCTGCATGAATAGGACAGTTCTTGCCATTAATAAATTTAAGAGCTGGTTCATTACACATGTATTACTATTTAAAAGTTTCTAGAGAAGGGAAGCTTACCACATCTAGCATTATTTTTGAATTAAAGCAAATCTAATTATAACCACTTTGATAGACTCGTATAAACACAGATGTCAACATTTGGAGATGTAAGCTATTTGTATTAAAATTGCAAATTGAGTTGGCATCTAGTCGCCGTCTGTTGAGGAAACATTCTACAAAAAATTAAAGCTATAGATTTAGTCTTGTTTAACACAGACTTGAAGCTCTCATATAGATAAGTTGTTGAACCTAAAATGCCATCAGTTACAAGAAAAGAAAGCATCACCAATTAAACTGATGTGGTTTTAAAGATGACAAAATATGAAAAAATATATCTTAGAATTCATGGAATATGTATATGTTTTAGTCTGCATATATGTTTAAGATGGTTGAGTGAATCAGGTTGATGACAAGATGCTCTGTTTGAGATAGACTGTATAGAAATGTGTGGAATCAGGAGATGAACTCTAAAATTCTTAGTAATGTCATTACTTTATGTTTAAAAAAAAAAAACAGAACCATTTTAAGAAATACAAGAGTTTCTGCTCTAAACTCTGCTTCCTAAAGTTGTGAAATGCTCCACATATGCCTAGGAGTCCATTCTTATAAACATGCGATATGTTTTTATATGTTTATATTTATTAGTATTTTCTTATTCTCAGTGCATTCAACTTCTGCAGAGATTAACATACAACGTCAAAATTTTCAATTCTGGTGCCAATATAGATGAATTAATTACCTTCCTGATAGATCATATGTGAGTATGCAACCAAACGTAACCAAGTATGCTGTTGATTTATTCTTAAACTAAAACCATATAATAGCTCAGTTTTTCTTAGGTAATATTTTCCAATTTTTTAAATTGAGGCTCTAATTCTTGTTCACTCCTTTTAGATGATTTCAGGAATCAAATGGTGTAAAGCAGCTTTAATTTTCATGACAATTTATGAAATGAATTGATTTGAACAGAAAAAACTATTGAAATTGAATATTTTATGCTTATGTTTAATCTTAATAGAATATACTGATGAGATACGTAAGCTCATTCTGACAATTATTTTCATATTTCTGCTATATTTGAATAATGTCATTTAGTTTCAAAATATGAAATGGTCAATACTATTCAAAGATTGTCTTCACTTGTTAATCATTTTTGCATATAAAAAGTTTAAGTGTAATTTACTATAGAGTTAGAATGAACTTAATGCTTTTATCTTTTATTATCTTCCTTAAAACAACAGTCAGTCTTCTGAAGATGAGTTAACAATACCTTGTCTAGGATTATTGGCAAATCTTTGTCGTTACAATATTTCTGTTCAAACATACATAAAGACATTGGTAAGTTTTGCATAAAATCTTTCTTTCTTGTTTGTGGTGGGTTCTGTGCTTAAAGAAAATTGTATATGTTTTTCTTTAAAATAAGAATTTTCATGTCTCATCCAGCTGATTCATCACAGTTAAGGAACAGATTGACATGATTAATTTGAAGTATTCTAACCTTTGCATATGTTGTATTTAAGATTATAAGTATTGATAAAAATGTTGAGTACTGAAAGTTTCCCTTCTCTGTAGCATCCCATTATTTTTTATATTGAATAACACAAGAAATATTATTTTGTGCTAATAGAAAGGATACACATCACTGGCAATCCCATTTACCTCATTTCTTAAGTTTCCGCAAAATCAATGGCAACTCTACCAGAAAGATCCATGAATAAATGACTAGCAACAACTATTAGCTCTTGTAGGGAGTGAAGACACACAAAGGACGCTAACTGAACCACTGTTAGAAATGTTAAATCAAGAAAGTTCATTGATTCTTCAGGGTACTTTGTGAACAATTCCCCTGCTATTCAGTATTCAGTGTTACCTATTTAAGTTAAACAATATCTCATTTGTTTCGTGTGCTGGAGGTACTGTGGAGATGGAAGTTATCTTGAGCCATGAAATATTTGGGAAAGGTAAACATTTGCTCACATTCCCATATCTAAACAGCTTTCACTTAAGATTGTACCTGTTTTTACTACTATAAAAGCAATATGTAAAATGTACCATCTTGCTTCTTGAATAATCTCTTAAATTGATAAATAATGTATAGTAAAACTTTACCTACTCTGTGAGATACACTTTCTAAACCAAAATATAAAACTGATAGTGTTTATTCTAATGTATTTTTAAATTTTTTTCTTTTTCAGAATAATGTGAAATCTTTTTATAGAACTCTTATAAGCTTCCTGGCCCATAGTAGTTTAACTGTGGTTGTGTTTGCACTTTCAATATTATCCAGTCTGACATTAAATGAAGAGGTTGGGGAAAAGGTAAATATGTTTTTTTAAATTATCTTTGGAAATAATTCTGAAGTTTATATTCTCTGATATTTTAAAAGTCATTGAGATTTTGTTAAGCTTAGAATGGTGTCAACTTAAAAATTTTTTGTATAATATACTTCTAATTTGTTTTTAAGCTGTTCCATGCTCGAAACATTCATCAAACTTTTCAGCTAATATTTAATATTCTCATAAATGGTGATGGCACACTAACTAGAAAGTATTCAGTTGATTTATTGATGGATCTCCTTAAGAATCCTAAAATTGCTGATTATCTTACCAGGTACGGCTCTTAAGACTCGTCTTTTCTTTCTTTGCAATGAACCTTGAAGTATGTTTGTGATTATAAAACTGCCTTTTCAGATTTAGTAAACTTGGATTCTACTAAGGAACAAGAGACTAAATTGAAATGTTTTGATAGACTTTGTTCCTTTTTTTCTTTTCTTTTTTTTTTTTTTTTGCTTTGCTGGCCTAAAATGTATGAGTATAATAATGTGGAGGGTGTGCGGGAAGTGTTTCAGTCTTTGTCTTAGGTAAATAAGGTTGTATCACTCTCTAAAATGTACACTTCTTAATTTTTTTAGTGCCAGTTTTAAATCTTGAACATTCCAGTTTTTGGAAAATACTGTTTTTATAGGAACATTCATGTCAGTATGTTTGTCTTATTTGCATAAAATGGATTGCATTTTCTTTGTTATGTGCCTCTGTTGTGTCGTAAGATAAAATGAGAACACATGTTTATGTGCCCATTCTGTCTCATTGGCATTTCATGTGATCATTTATCTTTTGAGAACATTTAGCAACTTTTCCATAGAGCTCGTGACCTTATTTATTTATTTATTTTGAGAGAGAGAGAGAGGGAAAGGAGAGAGAGGGTACTAGCAGGCTCCACACACCCAGCATGGAGCCCAAAGATCTCACAACCAGATCAGGATCTGCCAAATTCAGGAGTCAGATGCTTAACTGATAGAACCACCCAGGTACTCCTGGCCTTTTTATATCTTAAAGTTAAATTTTCCCAGTGCCTCAGCTGCTTTGTGATCACAGGTTAGGAAATTGTAGAAATTGCTTCAATTAATCATTTGCAAATGAGAAGACAGTTATGGAGCCCTTATTGTGGTCTAGTATCAGGGGAGGTAGGGCCTTTAGCAGAGGCAGGAATTTGAAGAGACAGCCCCAAATCTTTGAGGATCATAGAATCCAGAAATTGTACAAAGACATAGTCCCTAATTTTAAGGAACATGTAATGTAGATATTAACAAAACAAAAGCTAACCACTAGGGCAAGGTTGACCAGTACCCATATGGTTAACTGATATTTTACAGAACCAAGAACCATTCACATTAGCAATGAAAAATAGTCAGAAAAAAGGCAGGCAGGGCAAGGGGCCCCACCCTAAGAGGAAAGGATTTTATACCACCTTGGAAGGAGCCCTCTACCCTTTCCCACATGATAGGTAGATGACAAAAATTGACTGGGTGACAGGTGCAGGGAGGGTTAATCAGATTAAAACCAAGCCCATAAAAAACCATAGAGTTAGAAAGTCTGGTGGCAACTCTCTCAGGTCCTCTCCCTCTTCAGGAGCTTTGTACTATCACTCAGTAAAGTTGCTTTGCTGCCCACCTGTCTGGTCTACCTCTTCATGCTTCAAAACAGCATGACCAAGAACCACAGGCATTAAAGGAAAAGAAATCCTGCAACATTAGCATTTCATTTTTTCCTTTCTTAAGCATAGGTGGATAAGAAAATGTTCCTCCAGAGTGTCCTTCCTTTACTTGTCCTCTCTTTGTCTGTTCCAAGAGTCCTCCCAGTATACTCTCGTGTGATATCCATTCTGGCCACCAAATTGTGCTTATTGAGCAACTTCTAAATACATAGGATATACCTCTGCAGAAGGACCAAAGTATAATCCGATTTAGCATTAGTAAGTGGTTGCTTAATCACTTCTATAAATCTCTCAGTTCCACTATTTGTTTTCTTTTTATCTAGCCTAGAACTCTGGAAAGGAAATTATGTTTGTGTTTTCTTCTTATTTATTTGCTATACCATTTAGCGAAATATTCCTGAATCTGTTCCAAAGTCTAATCTAATGGCTATGTTCCTAATCAAAACCTGAGAAAATCGCACTTTATGAATTTGTATCCTACATATTCACTACATCTAACTTTATCTGGGCAGCACTTCTCATATTTATTCCCAGCTTTCTTTCTCATTTCCTACAGTGGCCCTTCAAATATTTACCACTTTCCTCTTGCCACTTTTCCCTCAGAAGATGAACTCATCTTTGTTTCACAGAAAAAACAAAAACTGAATCCTATCTAATTGGAGTTCTTTTGAATTTTTGCTCTTGAACCAAGTTACTTGTGTTTATACCAATTCTTACTTAGTGTCATCCTGTTTTGCTCATAAATGCATCCTTTTATGCATTAAATCTCATGTCCTATTTTTTGACTATCTTTTGTTTCTTCAATGGCTCCCATTCCATTGACTCCCTTCACTTATATTCAACTTTCAACATTTCCTTCAATCATATATCCCTTCTAAAATCTGTGATCTCGGGGATCCCTGGGTGGCGCAGCGGTTTGGTGCCTGCCTTTGGCCCAGGGCGCGATCCTGGAGACCTGGGATCGAGTCCCACATCGGGCTCCCGGTGCATGGAGCCTGCTTCTCCCTCTGCCTGTGTCTCTGCCTCTCTCTCCCTCTCTGTGTGACTATCATAAATAAATAAAAAAATAAAAAAATCTGTGATCTCCCATTGCACTCAAGGTGAATATCCGAATTCTCCATGTAGTGATCCAAAATCTGGTTTCTGGGGACCTCTCAGCTCTGTTTCTTTACATTTTCTTATTTACTTTTGTCTAATCACTTCAGACAATAAATAGAATCTCCAGCTTGTTAGAACCTTTTGTGTACCCATATGCTATTCCCTCTGAAATACTTATGCTGAGAGCTGGAATACTTTCACCTTTATATGCCTAACTCCTATTTATTTTTAAGACTCAAGTCTGGGAAAACTCATCTGATCAGGCCTGCCACTCTAAGTCTGGATTCAATATTCATCCTCCTAGCATCCTATACATTTCTCCGTTATAGTGTTGTATTTTACATTATTCAATATCCTATGTTTCTGCCTTTATTCTTAGACTGTTAGCTCTCTCACAGAGCATCATTCTCCCAAACACAGGATGTGCCAGTCACATAGACTGTAATGTGTGTGGTACCACTAGTACCTCTTAGAGTTATCCAACATAGGGCTCTGCATCTTACCTCTGTATCTTCAGAGCCTGATAAAATGCCTAGCTGTTATAAGCACTTTATAAATAGATAGCTGCCTAATTTATTAGAATATTCCATGTTCTTTGAATTTTCACAAACTGAACATAGCTTTAAAAAAACTGAAGTACCGAAAGTTTCAATGATTTATTTATTGCCACATGAATCATTTTTTTCACTGTTCAATGAATAACCATATACATAGATACATATAGGTGGAATGTTTTAACTATAAATTTTGCAAGAACTTCTATATCAGAAGCTCGATATAGGTGAAAGAAAATACACTTAAATTTTATATTTATTTATTTTGTATATAAATCTTTTTGATGCATCAATTTCATAGTTATTTGATGTATATTTTTATTTTAAACTTAGGTATGAGCACTTTTCTTCATGTCTTAGTCAAGTATTAGGTCTTCTCAATGGAAAGGATCCTGATTCTTCTTCAAAGGTTTGTAAAAACATGACTGTGTTTTAAATGTTCGAAAATTATAATGTGCAGAAAAATCTTAAGTGTACAGCTCTCTGAATTTTTACAGACTGAACACAGACATAACCATTGTCTAGATGAGAAAATACAGCATTGCCAGTACTCTAGAACCCTTCTCAAATCTTCATTCACTGGTGCAATCCCCTTGGAAAATTGTTTCACAGTTTCATTCATGCCTAATGAATATATGTATACCCTATGACATAGCAACTCTACTCCTAAACTACATAGCCGAGAGAGACATGTCCATAAGCTCATCAAAAGAACATGTAGAAAATGTTAAATAGAAAAATGTAGTTTTATAAATAATACTATTTTCTGATTTTTAAAAATGTCAGATGCGTAGGGGATAAATCCAACAAAACACATACAAGGTCTCTACTCTGAAATTACAAAATATTGAGAGATATGAAAGACCATATCATTTAAAAAAAAAATTATTGGCATCTCTTTGCCTACCCACCACCTTTGTACTAGTGATTGATTTGTTTGTGTTTGTACATTATACTTAAGGAAGACATGTATATGAGAAGGTATTTTATGGATATTATATGGATATAACATGTCTCTGATAAGAGAAAAGAGACACTGATAACATTGCTTGCCTTCAGGGAGCATAGCTAGAGATCAGATTGCTTTGTTTAGCCATGGAACCAAGTAAATACATTACCCATTCAAAAATAAGTATCTAATTTATATTTAAAAATGAATAAATCAAAGATTATCATGTTACATAGTAAATGCTAATGGACTGAACTCTGTTAAAATCAGATGGTATCAAGTTGATCAAAACACAAATCCCAATTACGTGTCATTTACAAAAATACAGATGAAGGTAGAAAATAAGTGGATAGGCAAAAAGATGCCAATAATTTTTTTTTAAATGATAGGTTGGTAGTGTATGAAGTGAGATAGAATTTAAGTTAGCTAATAAACAGGTTGTGGGATGTTATGTAATGTTATAAAGGCCCAATTAATGAGGTAAAGAAATGAAGTAGAATAGAGGAGCTAACCGGTATAATGCCAACAGTGTACAATGTGTAAATAGCCATACCTAATGTTTTAAAGCATGGGGATGCCACTTTTCAATATTATCCTGAAGTATGCTTTATAGGAATTCTCGAATCTCAAGCATGATAGCAAGTGTCTGTAGTTCCTAATTTATTTTTATTTTAAAAACAAAATATATCTGTGCTTTAAAAAAAAATTACTATAGAAGACATATGATATTAGTTGAAGTTGCCCTCCTTTCTTTGGCTTTCACAATCCTTATTAGGAGTAACCACCATTAACAAATTTCTTTGTAACTTTTTAGTACCTAATCCCATATTTTGAAAAATAATAATGAAAGAAAAATTGGAAGCTTTCTTTAATTTTTAGAGTATTTTTTTAAAATATGTGTCCTTTTCAACTTCATCATTTGGTTGCTTTGTACATGAAAGGCCAATGAAATTGACATTTAACGAAGACTTTATATTGCACAGGTTTTAGAATTACTTCTTGCCTTCTGTTCAGTGACTCAGCTGCGCCACGTGCTCACTCAGATGATATTTGAACAGTCTCCATCTGGCAACACCATTCTGGGAAGCCGTTCTAAATGTTTAGAACCTACTGTGGCTCTACTGCGCTGGTCAAACCAACCTCTGGACAGATCAGAAAACTGTTCTCTTCTAGCCTTAGAGTTGTTCAAGGAAATATTTGAGGTAATATAACGATAGACAAATTGACTTTTCCATTTTTATGATCCTCAGTGAACAGTTTACGTTCATAAACATCCATGATATACTTCTAATTGTTTATACACCTTAGGAAAACTTTTAGCAAACTCCCTACCATTCAGCTACTGAATTTTCTTTGGGGCAAAGTCAGGAACATTAATGTTTTCTTTTTTGGCACTGAATAGCTTATATATACTCCTTTCAGTGTAATAAGTAAAGATATTAGCTGAGATTTGTACAGTTTGTTGCTGACTGTACTTCTTGCAATAGTCATGCTTCTCCATCTTGGTAGATACTGTTTATGGTCTTCATTAACCTATTGAGTGGATTAATATAGGAACATTGGATTCAGTTACTCAGATGGAGTGGAACATTCCAGACACTGCTAGACACTTAGGATACAAAATTTCTTTCCCTAGAGGCCATTACATTCTGGTAGATTCTGCTGTCTAGGTTATTTAGCATTTTCTACTGTTGTCCCTATTTTTTATACCTACTCTGCCTACTATAGTATCTTCCTACAGTATTTCCCCTCATAACTGGATCCTGTGCACAAACAAAAATGCATATCAGTGGTTAAATATATTTGCCAAAGATGATGCACGAATTACTCTGTGTTTTATGTTGGTCTTGACTGTTGATCATTTAAAAAACTCTGAGGGACACCTGGGTGGCTCAATCAGTTAAGTGTCTGAATTTAGCTCCAGTCATGATCTTAGGGTCCTGGTATCGAACCCCAAGTCGGTCTCCCTACTCGGCGAGGAGCCTGCCTCTATTTGCCTTTCCCCTAGTTCATGATTGCTCGCTCTCTCTCTCTCTCTCTCTCTCTAATAAATAAGTAAACTCTTTAAAAAAATTAAAACTCTTTGAGATTCTTGTTGGGAGTTATTCGTGGTTGTAAAGTATTTAGATCAGTGGTGGTTATTTAGTTATTGCAGTTTCACTTAGCAATTTCAGGATACTTGTTTTCAAATCACAGACACAATCCATTGGAAAGTCTTGTTTGCAGTTGAATAACCTAAGACTTTATTGTTCCATTTAAGACAAGTCATCATAGCCATCAAATCGAGATAAAAGGGTAGATTTTAAATAGGAGACACAGGTCAGTTAACTACTAAAGTAACTCTAAGAGACTTGATGAGAACATGACGACTCAGTTATTATCTCTACTTTCTGTATTTCATCTTTATTTTTATTTTTCATCATTGGTGGTGGTTAATTCTCCAGGATGTTGCAGATACTGCTAACTGTTCCTCAGCTGACCGTTTTGTGAGCCTTCTGCTGCCTACAGTCCTTGACCAACTTCAGTTCACAGAACAAAATCTAGATGAAGCCTTATTAAAAAAAAAATGTGAAAGGATGGTCAAGGCCACTGAAGTTTTGTTAAATATCCTTTACTGTTAAAACATGGAAACTAACCAGTCTTTTTTTTTCTAACATTACATTTACTGCATTTTGTCTTTAATTGTACTTTAGTCACTTCTCATGCTTATACCTATTCAGAATTATTGGAGTTTAAACTATAAAACTAATTCTCAGTAAGGAGTCTAAAAAGGTTGTCCAGACGTTTTTCCCTCATTTTTCCGTGTAAAACTTTTAAATTAAGGAGTATTTTCAGAATGATTTTTAAACTTGATTTTTTTTTTTTTTGGTGGACATTTTTACCACAAATGGAGGTTAAGAGATACATTCTAAAGATAACTGCTGTGTTACTCTAATGCTAATTGCTGTCTGGATGATTCATGGTGCCATCTTTTGTTCAGTATATCAGAATAAACATTGGTAGAGTCAGTATTTTAGCTTATATTATAATTTTTACTGAAAATTAAAGCCTCTAGAAATGTTTTAATAAGAGTGACATCACACTAGATTATACAAAAGACAAATATTATAAAGACAAAGTTCATTACAAAAAAAGAAAACCTTGAGTCCAGTTAGTGTCACTGAATAACTTCTGTATTCTGATTCTCTTAGGTCTTTTATTAGCTTTTGTCTTTTAGATTAGCTGATTCTAAATCTTTTTGAAGCCCAAGTTCCATTTTTAAAATATTTCATTAATGCTATTTTATTATCGGCAAAGAGCCATTATATCTCTACCATATCTTTCATACTTACCTGGTCAGGTTTCCTTATATCTCAGAGCAACAAGACTTTGTTCAACTTCGTTCTGCCCTAGAGCAAATTCCACATCTGTTTACTCTCTCCTTGGAACTGCTGCTCCTTAATTTTCTTCTTCCCTACAGCAGTGATTCCCAACCCTGGCTATGTATTCAAATGACCTGGAGAGCATTTTAAAAATCCTGACACCTGAACCTTGCTTCCAGCAATTCTAATTTAATTGGAGTAAAGTGTGTGAGGTGTGGGGAGATTGTAATTGACTGTTCAAATCACTCAGGTGTATCTAACATGCAGCCGAAGCTGAAAACCACTGCTGTGGAAACCCATGATTATGTTGCTTGATCTTAGAGATATCTATAATATATGCAGGCCTCAAAATTGTACCAATTTTGAGCCAAGTTTGACCACTTTTTCATGATATTCAAATTAACTTGTAACATTACAATATAGGCAAAAACTAAGAGTAGTTCAGCAAATACTGAACCGTTGTTATAATCTGTCAACCAAATACTAGCATCCAGCAGAGTAACAGACGATGTTAGTCAAATCTCTTGCCACTTACCAATCACTTAAATGCTCTGAGCTCTAGTTTCCTAATGTCATTGAGTTAATATTAACAATAATTATGTGGAAGTGAAGTGACAAGATAATTTGTATGAAATCACTCAATACTGTAAAGCAATACAAATATAAGGGATTTAAAAAATATATATATAAGGGATTTGATTTTTTTTTAGAATTTTTTGTTTGTATCCCTTAACAAAACTTACCTCTTTGTGGAGATGATACGCTAAAACTGCATGTTGCAAAAACTCTGACTACTATCAAATGTACCACTCTGATAGAACAACAGTTTACGTATGGCAAGATTGATTTAGGGTTTGGAACAAAGGTAGCAGATTCTGAATTGTGGTGAGTATAATGAAATCCAAATGGCAAAATGATAATGCCAAATGTAATAAAAATCAAAAGATGTAGCAATTCTCCTCTCTTTTGAAGGATAATCCTTGTGTATGCACTATTAACTCAAGGTGTAGTGGAGAATTAACAAGTTTTTTCATAGTTTTTAAAAAATTCATTCAATTCATAAATTATGTGCTTAAAGAAAGGATAATCTTAACATCTATGATTTGTTTTTTATTGTTTAGGTTTGTTTCATGGTGTTTTAACTTATTATCTAAGGGTCTTTGTACTCCTTTTCTAGAGATTCTTTTTGACACGTTGCCTCAGTAATTTTATGTTTGTTTTAAACAAAAACATGAAAAAACAGGTCATATTTTTATTACTAGGAAATCGGTTACTACAGAAAGTTTCCTACTAGCAGACAGTTCTTTTCATTAGCACGTCAAGACTTAATGGTTAAAGGTGAATTTTCATGGATAGTGATGAGATTTTATCCTCCCCTCTCATTTGAATTAAGTCTATTAACATCTTTATTGAGGACCTACTAAATGGCTAGATATTGATTTGTTTCAGTTTCTATAAATGATGTAATTGCCAATAATTGTGGTCCTCCAGAACACAGATTACCTTTTCTTTTTTTGTATTCCTTTTGCAATGAGGCTAAGAACATGGCTTAGTATAATTTATTTGGTAAATATTAAGATTCTGTATTGCTTAAGATTGCCCTTTATTGTTGATAGGCCTGTGACAAAGCTAAGAATTAAATAGGTCATGTTGCTGATGCTGTTAGTAATGTACAGAAAGTGGAAGCATGCTGGTATTTGAGATTACAGTCTCAACTTAGACTGTTAAGGCCAATTTGTTCTTTTTGGGGCTTGAGCTATAAGGGTAATGGTCTCTACTGTGTTTTTACTTCTCAAAAGAAACAATACTTTATCTCCCTAAGGTTTAAAAACAGGTGTTGGTTTTTCAGAATTTCTTTAGAATTATGGCTAGAAATAAAGCTCTAAGCAATTATTTAGTTATCTAATTTAAATATGATTTACTTTTAAGCAAACTTGCTGCTGATGTAGTTTTGAAAACCCTTGATTTGATGAATAAACTTAAGCAGTTGGTTCCTGGTATGGAAGTAAGCTTCTATAAAATCCTTCAGGTGAGTTTAAACTCTTCAAATACTGAAGTTTATTTATACAAAATGCTCCCTAATATATGAGTTTCTGTTTTAATATTCTTTAGAAACTGTTTCTCTTAGAATTGGGTGTCAGAAGAAAGTTAATTGCCTAAGTAACTATAGTATTCCTACTACATGGTAATTTTATGTAGTTTTGCAGGAGTTGAACATAAATGCTCCTGATTATAATGTACAAGATGTTGCTGGCGCTTCCTCAACCTTTTTCCTTTCTTGTCATCCTGTACGTTTCTTCGTTTATTTCTATTGGCATTGTAGTGAAGGGGATGTGGTATTTGTTTTGGAGTTTTGGGGTGGGGTTGATGATGTGCTTTAAGGGGATAAGGGACACATTTGGAAGAAAAGGACTTGATTGCCTACCCTCTCTAATCTTATTACGACTCACAGAGAATAGCTAACTCAGATTTTGAGTTCTGATGTGTACCTTGAAAGCCACAAAACCTGACTTCTAATAGATACTTAGCAAACATGCGTCAATTGGGTTAATATAATAATTTAACAAAGATGGCTCTGATATCTGTCTAGACAGGGTAAAAGGCAAAACTGAAACCTTATTCAGGGGCCACTTGTACATTTTGAGAGCATAATGCTTAGGAGATGGGGTTCAGATGTTGACTCCACCATCAATCAAGTTGGTGCAGACTTGAGCAAGCTATTTCACTTGTCTGAGCTCTAGTGTCCTTAACTACAGAATGAAAATACTGATCCCCCTCCATGGGAGTGGTTACAAAGAGTTACTATGAGGGTTATGAAGATAAAGGCCGTCTCTTAACATGGTTCTGTGGCCTAAGATTATACTTGAGTACTTACAAGACACTTGACACTGGTAAAATGTAGATTACTATAAAGGATTCATATTTTAATATTTTTTCTCTGTTAACTTAAAAATTGAGTCAAACTGATTATCTGTCAATTAGGAGATGTTTTTCAGAATAAATTATTTAAGGTTTACAGTACTAATGTAAAATATTTACTGACATGAAGGACTTATGCTTTGAGCATAATTGTTTCAGTTACTGAATTCGAATTGAATTAATTTGAATTTTATTTTTGACTTTAATTAGAAATGATAATTATTTTTTCTTATAGCCAGATTTTCTTCTAAGTGTAGCAGAATTAAAACAATAATTCAAAACAGTCTGTTGTGGATGGTATTTTAAATTCATCAAAATATTTAGGACGTGATTTTCATAGGCATAACAACAAAAGCGTTCAAAACTTTGCCCAAATTTTTTTAAAGCTAATGTTCATATTGACTGCATAGATAATTATAACAAAGTAAAGATAAATAAATGCATTCAGATATCAGATAGAAACCTTTCAGAATTTGGCTAGTATCATTTTATGATTTAGCTCTGTTTACTCACCTTGATGTAAAAAACCTGACATTATTTATTCCTTGTGCTTCTTGTTTTCTGGTTTCTGATTTGCTTAGGATCCACGCCTGATTACTCCCTTGGCTTTTGCTTTAACATCAGATAATAGAGAACAAGTACAGTCTGGATTGGGAATATTATTGGAAGCTGCTCCACTGCCAGATTTTCCTGCATTAGTGTGAGTTGTAGTCATTTGCAGTGTATCTCTTGTGCTGGAATATCTTGCTGTGTTTCTTTAGTAGTCATTGATGTAGAAAGACTAGAAAATTTGTGAATCAAAGACTTCATTATAACAGTAATTTTTCAAGTGCTTAAAAGAAAATTTGATTCCAGTAACTGAAAAGACCAGGTATATGCTCAGAGAAAAGTAGCTTCGGATGGGTTAAATATATTTTCCAGGCTCTATGCTGCTCCATCTCTTACGTCCTCTATTTAACATAGTGGCTTCTGGACTAACATCTTACCAGTTCAGTTCTTACAGAGAATGTGCTTTCCCCGTCTCAGCCATACTAAAGAAATAATAAATAAATAAATCCCACAAGCAAACAAGCTTAAAAGACATTTAGATGTGAGGAAGAACTTCCTCAGTTTAAGGGTTGTAGGTAACCACAGGATTGCCAGGGGACAAGAGGGGAATCTGTTCTAAAGGATTAAACACTTCATAAACAACATGGCTTTTAGGACTAAAAAAAACAACCAACAAAAACAAAACAGGAAAACAAATGAAGAGCTTTCCCTTCCCAGTATTTTAAATGATAAGCCTAGGCATTATTTTCATTGACCAAATCTGGGTCATTTGCCAATGAAGGACCTTGGCAGATACCAAAAGTTCATCTGTGAGAACTACATGGACTGAAAACTAGTTTGGAGGCAGTGGGAAAATTCCTAAAGAAAACTTTTGGAAAGTGGAATAAATAATGACCAGGCTGAATTGTCCACTAGACTCATTAATTTCAAACATTAAGAGAATATATTATATTTGAAAAAAAATGAGATTTTGGGGGCTCTCTGTAAACTAAATGGTTGAACAAGTGTCCAGTTGAGTTCTATATTAATTTTTAAAAGTTTAAGTTCCGGGCAGCCCAGGTGGCTCAGCGGTTTAACGCTGCCTTCAGTCCAGGGTGTGATCCTAGAGACCCGGGATCGAGTCCCACGTCAGGCTCCCTGCATGGAGCCTGCTTCTCCCTCTGCCTGTGTCTCTGCCTCTCTCTGTGTGTCTCTATGAACAAATAAATAAAATCTTTAAAAAAATAAAATAATAAAAGTTTAAGTTCCATATACAAATGAATTTTCAAAAGTAATTTGAATAAAATGAAGCAGGTTAGTGACTAGGTAAGACATTTCTGTATGCAGGGATCTGAAAACTATAGCTGGCAGGAGCCTATGTTTGTAAATAAAGTTTTACTAAAAAAAGGACACACCTGTTCATTTTTATATTGTCTGTATTTTCTGTGTCTACATTCATGCTATGCCATCAGGGTTGGATAGTTGTAACAGACTGTACATCCCCTTAGGTCTGAGATATTTACTGCTTTGTCCTTTAAGAGAAAGTTTGCTAACCTCTGCTACGTTGCTATTGTTAAAGATTTACTGGGGCTCCCTGGGTGGCCTAGCGGTTTAGCGCCTGCCTTTGGCCCAGGGCACGATCCTGGAGTCCCGGGATGGAGTCAAGTCCCACATCAGGCTCCCAGCATGGAGCCTTCTTCTCCCTCTGCCTGTGTCTCTGCCTCTCTCTCTCTCTGTCTCTCAATGTCTATGATGAATAAAATCTTAAAAAAAAAAAAAAAAAAGATTTATTTTGTTTATTTGAGAGAGAGAGCACGCACGTGTGCACAAGTGGAAGAGAGGGGCAGGTAGAAACAGGTACCCCGTTGAGCTGGGAGCCTGGCATGGGACTCAACCCCAGAACCCCGGGATCATGACCTGAGCCAAAGGCAGATGCTTAACTGATGGAACCATCCAGGCACCCCTCTGCTTTTTCTTTTAAGAGACTCTGCAAACTCATTTTTCAGAATTAATAATTTAAGTGGTCATAAATTAGGAGATTAAGAACTGTGGAGAATAAGAGGTAGAGACCACATAATCAAAATTCTTTTTATTTTATAGTAGTTATTTTTAAACAAGTAGACAAATAAGGAGCTTCTCAAGTTAAAATGTAGAAATGATTTGTGAAGCTGCTTGATTTTGTGGTGGTTTGGTTGCTCCAGTTGTGGTAATTGGACATAAAGAAAAGCCTCTGTGTTTCAGAATGGAAAGCTTCAGCTTCACTGAAAGTGGGAGTCTCCTCCTCTGTCTCTGCAGATGAGCTCTTCCTACCATTTCTTGATATCACAGCAATCCCTCTCTTACTGGTGTTCTATAATTTTCCTTTAGACATTGTCTCTTTAGACACTCTCTTTAGATACTGCTATCATGTCTGTTTATGTCTTTGTATCCTCTTAGTTTAATAAGGTAAATTTATATGCTGGATGGATGGGGTAGGTGGGTACATAAGTATGTATGCTTGTTTTATTTAGACATTTAACAACATGTGAGGGCCCTTCTAGTCATTTTAGATACTGCAGTAACTTAGACCAGGGCCTCTGTCATATGACTTACATTCTATTTGGGAGACAAGTTAAAAAAAATTAGGTTTCATAATGTGCATGTCAGTATGGGTGGAGGGGCCTCTCTGAGGAAGTGAATTTGAACTGAGATTGATGATAAGAAGGAACCGACTTTATATGGATCTAGTGGGAAGAATGTAGGTAAAGGAACAGCTCATTCAAAGACCCTGAGGCAGGACCAAGACAGAAAGGGAAAGGTTCAGAATGGAAGTCAGGTTGCTGAGAATATAGTGAGAAAGGACATGGGTAAAGGACAGCTGATGTTGCCCACGGTAAGAAGGAAGCATTAACACTACTAAATTTTTACAAATAATCCATACTCACAGACTAGTTCTAGTGCCTCCAAACCAGAGGTGAAATTGTCATTATAAAAGGTTGTATGTAGAAAAGCATTTCTTTGTCAAATATTTAGGATATTTTCCAAAATTTGACTTCATCATAGATACCAAGATTATTTAAAAAACATCTGAAGACTTATATTCCCAAAAAGATCCATTCTAGAGATTCTCTAATTCTATACTAACTGACCTTCCTCTATTTTTTTTAAGGTTTCATTCATTTATTCATGACAGACACAGAGAGAGAGAGAGGCAGAGACACAGGCAAAGGGAAGAGCAGGCTCCATGCAGGGAGCCTGACGTGGGACTCAATCCCGGGACTCCAGGATCACACCCCAGGCTGAAGGCGGCGCTAAACCGCTGGGCCACCGGGGCTGCCCTTTTTTTTTTTTTTTTTTTTTTTAAGATTTTATTCATTGAGAGAGAGCAGGCGTACAAGCAGGCAAGAAGGGCAGACAGAGAATCTCAAGCTGACTCCAAGCTAAGCACAGAGCCTGTGGAGGGGCTCAGTTTCATGACCCCAGAGATCATGTTCTGAGCTGAAATCAAGAGTCAGATGCTCAACCAACTGAGGCATCCAGGCTCCTCCTCCTCCTCCTGTACTTTTTGTAATTATTATTTTTTTTTTATTCCTATTCAGACTTGGAGAAAGTATAGCAGCAAACAATGCTTACAGACAGCAGGAAACAGAACATATGCCCAGGAGAATGCCTTTGCAATCACTAAATCCCAGTCTTCCAACATCTGTAAAATGTTTAACTCCTCCACTTTTAAAAGCTAGAGTTCCTGGATTGAACATTGAGGAATTAATAGAAAAACTTCAGGCTGGAATGGTGGTGAGTAAATAGCCATTTTAAATGGGATTCTGACTGGTACATACCAACTAAATGTCAGCCTTGATTATTAACATTTATTTAAATAACTTTAGATATAAATTTGATCAATGAAGCCTTTTAATATGAAAATAACAATATTCTAGAAATTTTGGGAAGAAAAAGATTAGCTATAAAATCCCCACATTTTAAAACAGCATTTTCCCCCTAGTCATCCCCAGTTAGTCCACCCTCATCCTCTCTGTCCTTGTTTAAGAAATCTATCCCACAAGCATACCAAGTCCTACCCAGATACCCTTCTCCAAAAGCCAGGTTAGCAAAATGTTTGTGAAACACCTCACAAGACATTCATTTCTTCACTTTGTTACTCATGAAGCCTTAATGATTTAGTTTCACACTAGGCATTTATTTTTTTATTGTGCTGAGTGTTAAAATTTTCTGATTTTTTTTTTTTTTTTTTTACTGTTGTCCTGAAACTTAGGTAAAGGATCAAATTAATGATGTGAGAATATCTGACATAATGGATGTATATGAGATGAAACTGTCCACATTAGCCGTGAGTACAAGCTTATTTTAGCTCTGTGTAACAGTTAAGCTTTAATAGATGTTTTCTGTGATAAAGGTCAATGGTATGTTTTCTTACAGTCCAAAGAAAGCAGGCTACAAGATCTTTTGGAAGCAAAAGCTCTAGCCCTTGCACAGGCTGATAGACTGATTGCTCAATATCGCTGTCAAAGAACTCAAGCTGAGACGGAGGTGTGTACAATATAAATAATGACTTATCCAGTAAGTCAAAAAATAAATGAAGTAGAACGTGTACAAAATTTTAGTTATGTTTCGGTTACCCTGTCTGAAGTAAACTGTTCTCAGCATTTGATACGACTATTCCCTCCATCTTGACACCTTCCCCCTTTAATTTGGATTACCCCATTACCTTCTGATTTTCTTTCTACCATAATGGATATTCTTTTCCTATATACTTTATGAATTTCTCTTTCTCCACTCAACCCTCAAATGTTGGTTTCTCCCAACATTATGTTCTAAGCCCTTTGTCCTTTGGGTGACCCAGAGTTTCAGTCATTATCGAATGTTAATGCCACCTATTTTATGTGCTGAGCCCAGATCCTTTTTACTAAGTACTAAATGCTTCCTGTATAGCTGTTTCAATATATCACAAATACTTCCCATTCAGCATGACCAATCCTGAACCCATTACCCTTTTTAAAAATTTATTCTTATTTATATATTCCCTCTTGTTCTTCAAAGTTTTCCAGACCAGAAACCTAGAAGTCACATAATTTACCTCCTACAATTAGTCATTCTCCAAATCCAGTTGATTCTAGCTTCTGAATATTGCTTTTTTGTGCCTTATCTCTGTTTTTGCCCTATTTGCTATGGATCACATCCTTTTCATTTTTTATATAAATCATAGCAGAGCCTCTAGTCTCTATACCCTCAGTCTGGAGCCCTCTTCTCAACCACCCTCTATGTGCATCCCCAGTCATCTGTCTTTTGCATTTGGTTCCACCCTCCCTTTTCTCCCACGATGATCCGTGAGGCTGCAATCTGATTTTATTGCTTCTATGCTAAATACTGTGTAGTGGCTTACCATTTTACTCAGCAGATGATTTTAAATTCCTTAGTTTGGCACACATGATTCTAACTACTTTCATTCTGCATCTCCTTGCATTTCTGTGCATTCTCTGCAATCAACTATATTAGATTACTTTGCAGTTTCTTACACAGTTTTATTACCTTGCAGTTACTTGACATACTCAGGTTTCCTTGTCCTTGTAACTTGCTCATCCATGTCTGGAACACCTTTTCCTCTTTCTCTGCCTAATTCCTAATAATCCTTCAGATTTTAGTTTAAATATCCCCATTTCTTAGGAAGCTGTCCCACAAATGTGAAAATTATATAACCGTCCCGCTACCCTCAATGTCAGAAACTCTTTCAGTATCTCCCGGCCCCAGCAAGCACAGTACTTGGCACATGGTAGATGCTTAGAAAGTTTGGCATTTGCTGTGTGCTTATATAAACACAACGTATACATTAGGAGTGAGAGCTTACTGCAATAATATGGAATTCCTAGCAAATATAAACAGTCTCAACAGTTCAGTGTCATTTATAAAGAATTATAATAAAGTCATCACTTTAGAGAGAGGCATTAAAATCACTGACACATAAAATACCATCAAGTTTTCTCAGAGTACATGTATTTGAAAAAATATGAATAAATATAACCATACGTTTTCCTTTTCTTCTTTTGAAAAGGATTCGTTTATCTTGACTGATGGCATGTTAAATATATCATAAATTGCAACAAAGAAAATTAGTGATATTAAAATCATTTTGTCCTCTCTCTTCTCATAGCACATTCTTAGATTCTATTTTGGACATGTCTTGCATTTTACTGGAGAACTTAATGTTTTATCCATTTTACTGGAAAGGCTTCTTATAAAAATAACACTAAATAGTAGGGTATTATTGCTTTATATATAGACTGTCATAAAAACAGAGAAGGGCTTAGGTTTTTATCTGGTTCAAAATGAGAGTATTTTTCAGGCTAAAGGGAAGTTCACTTCTCATTCTAGTTTTCTGTTTCTTTAATATTTCATGTCACAAATTGATTTTCTGTGTAAAGTTAGAATTTAAAATGAATACACAGCATTGCTTTTCTGTGGCCCTAAAATCCTTTTGTAAACATTCACATATTCTGATAATTTGTGAAACTTACACATCACAAGTGAAGTATTGCTTACTTAAACTCAAGATCAAAGTCGGAAACAGAATACAGGTCTCTGTTTCTTTCCATGTCACATATTAACTTAGGTGTATTTCATGATTGTGCTAGTTTAATTTTAAGTGTTTGCTTAACATCTGTGATATAGTTAAGATCTTATTCTAAATTTCTACCTGAAATGGGAAAACTGATTTTTCTAACTTTCTGGTTTAGTGTTAATGGCTGGCCCCAAGGACCACACATACTCTTTCAATGGGGTACACAGAATGTAGTGCTACCTTCATGTTGTTATAGTTGTGTTCATTTCCATGAATCTGGTCATATCAGGATTATTCTAGTCAGAACAATCTATTAAGTAAAAAAACTGTAACAGTGTATATGTGACTAACAAAACCTTATATAACCCAATAGATGCTAGCCTATTAGATATTTGGTAAACCTTTTAAATTGTAGAAACTGAGCATATTACATACATGGTAGTAGAGAAGTCTCTTTTGTTTTAGGCACGGACACTTGCTGGTATGTTGAGAGAAGTTGAAAGAAAAAATGAAGAGCTTGGTGTGTTGCTGAAGGCACAGCAGGTTGAATCAGAAAGAGCACAGAGTGATATTGAGCATCTCTTCCAACATAATAGGAAATTAGAGTCTGTGGCCGAAGAACATGAAATACTGACAAAATCCTACATGGAACTTGTTCAGAGGTAAATTAATAAAGTAAAAGTTCCTGTGTAACGTTAGAATTTAAAATGAACACACAGCATTTCTTTTCTGTGGCCCTAAAATCCTTTTGTAAACATTCACATGTTCTGATAATTTGTGAAACTTACACATCACAAGTAAGTGAAGTATTGCTTACTCAAACTCGGGATCAAAGTTGGAAACAGAATACAGGTCTCTGTTTCTTTCCAGTTGACTCTGCTACTTTCATGTATTCATGCAGTCCTCTGTCGTCTGGGATGTTAGCACCACAAAAACAAGTTGAGTCTCTTTGTCCTGTAGGTCCTGGAACAGTACTCAATACACAGGCATTCCGTAAATGTTAAGGGACCTTAGTTATCACAATTCATGTTAAGTTGAGCCACATGAATTGGCCATTTCTGCAGATCAAATGTGTTTCATAGTATTCAGTCTAATGGCAGGGAAATACAGCTGTCAGTGTTTAAATCATTGCTAAATCTGTAGTCAGTATTTCTTCTTAATGTCATTGAATATGGTTTACTTATATGTGTGACTACATCTGTAGAATAAATTCTTAAAAGTAAATAGTAGGGTTAAAAGGTATGTGCTTTCAAATTTTTGATGGATTAAGTTTCCTTCCAAAAAAGCTACACTTATTTATATGCTTACTAACAAAATGTGAGATTGATCACATTTTCCTCCTTCGTCAAACTTTTTAATCTTTTAGATCAATTTTAAAACTTCTGAAATATAAGGAAGACCAGGAACAATTACAGATTTTCTACCAAATGATAAAAATTAAAACATTCTGGTTCACTTGTTCTTTGTTTTAATTTATAATTTAAGATCGGTTAAGATTTGAAAAAATGTTCTATTTATGCTATTAATTTAGAGATCTAGAAAATTTAAACTTTGCAAGGTTCATGTACTTACTTGCCCATCAATAACAATGAAGGGTGGAAAAATGTATGGCATCTAGAAAATTTGTGATGCTAAAATTTCCTAAACAGGATATTTTCTCCCAGCAACAACTTTCTTCAAAGTCTGCTTGAGGCAGCCCTGATAGAGTGGACTATTGGTGGTAAGTCAGGGTGTGAGAAAAAGTAAGCAGTGGTCCCACAGAAGTATGCAGTTTCCAGGACCCGCTGTTGTTCCAGATAATAAATAAGGGGCCAAGAGGTAAAACTCCTGCCTTCACGGGCCAGAAGGGTAAAGAAAGGTCATTTGTAATGGTAGGGACTATCTAAAGGCATTCAAATTCAGAATTTTCAAAACCATATGGGACGGATAAAACACTTTCTAGGCAAATTTGGCCAGTGCCACCAGTTTGTACTTAGTGAAGGGAGGAGGACATTTTATGCTTAAGATACCTGGGTGTCAAAGTATCACTTAAGGAAGTATTACTGTGTTTACTTTGCAAGTAAACTAAGCAGGATTGTTAAATGCAGAGCTCTAAAGAAACGAGAAGTTTAATATCCTCAACTACTTCATTAGTTTGACATTTTTAATTCAATATACGTTATACCGAAGAGGCTAATGATGGCAGATATTTTTGTTTTTTAATAGACTTCATCCTTTTATAGAAGTTTTTTTTTATATATATTTTTTAATTTTTATTTATTTATGATAGTCACAGAGAGAGAGAGAGAGAGAGAGAGAGAGGCAGAGACACAGGCAGAGGGAGAAGCAGGCTCCATGCACCGGGAGCCTGATGTGGGATTCGATCCCGGGTCTCCAGGATCACGCCCTGGGCCAAAGGCAGGCGCCAAACCGCTGCGCCACCCAGGGATCCCTTTATAGAAGTTTTTGAAAAATTTCTGGACCTATGAAAATATCTATAATATATATAGCAAATTATATAGCAAATTATGTTATCTGCAAAGCTCTGTATTCATAAATATGAGGTCAGTGCCCTGCACATTTCCTTTTTAGAGTAAATACTACCTCCTAAGTCAGCTAAAACTATCTTTAATGTGTTTTAGAGTTAATCTAACTTTCTTTATGTCCTGCTTATTCATGACATTCCTCTCCTTACCTTCAGTGTTTGCAGTTTGATTTGAAGAAATAATAAAGGACACACAGTTTCTTTTCTCCATCATATTTGCCTCCATAAAAATAACTTGTTTTTTCTTCTTGTTTTTTCATCTTGTTTTTTCAGGAATGAAACCACTGAAAAGAAGAATAAAGATTTACAGACCACGTGTGACTCTCTGAATAAACAAATTGAGACGGTGAAAAAGTTAAATGAATCATTCAAGCAACAAAATGAAAAGTAAAATCTCTAGTTCTTAGTTCTAATTACTTTGGATTTTTAAAAACCAGTGCTTCCTCTTATACAGAGCATTGTTTTTTATAGATAAAATTAATACAATTATCACTTATTTTTTTTATTATAACTTATTTGAGATATAAAATATATACTTGGCAAAATGTAAAGGTAATTACTGATCATGTTTTCTTCTATATTTTTTTATAACTTCAGAACTATTGCCCAATTATTAGAGAAAGAAGAACAGAGAAAAGAAGTCCAGAACCAACTTGTAGACAGAGAATGTAAGCTAGCAAGTAAGTAGCTTCTTATTTAATAAAAAAATCAGAGCATGATTTTATTTTCTACTCTCATTTTTTTAAAAATATCACATTTTAAACAGCTCCCTTCTTCTAGTTAGATTGATTAAGTTGAAAAAGCAATTTATTTTTTTAAAATCTGGGAATTAGAGGAAATGATTGTCTTTTTAAAATACTTTTAAAAGAATGTAACAGCAGGTGGCAGTGCTAGGTAACTTTTAGTTACCAGCTTCTTAGAGGCAATAGCTCTGAAATGATCCACAGAAATATTTGTGTTCTAACTCACTTGCCTTAGAGCACGGACATCTGCCTATATAATCATTCATACTTTTCTCCATCTCTTTGCTAACCCTTAAGCTATGAGGATTTCTTTCTCCTTGTTACTCTCTTTATAATATCAGTAACAGAGGAAGAGGGAAAGACGTGGAGATTTGGCTTTTTCTGTGGAATATTGGCCTAGGGGAAGAGTTTTGTGGTATATTTTTATTCATCAGATATTATAAAACTTTTATTTCCAGGAAGATACTTCTTCATCTTCCCATCTTGTCATTCTTCTGCTCTAGTTACTTAGTGGCTAATAAACCTTTTCAGGGTAACATCGATATAGGACCTCTGAGCATATAACGGACTGTTTGTTTGTTTTAAGATTTGCAACAAAAAACAAAATTACAAGAAGAAAAGATTAAAATCTTGCAGAAAGAAAGGGAAGATAAGGAAGAAACCATTGATATCCTTAGAAAGGAAATAAACAGAACAGAACAAATAAGAAAAGAATTAAGCATTAAGGTAAGAATCTGTTGAGTTCTCATCTCATTTGTACGAATGAGTAAGTCTGATTTTGTGGAGAAGGTGAATTTGGATAAGTTACAATTCTGTTTCTTTAGTAATTTTATTTGGAAGATACTACAATTTCAAAATGGACCATTGTTTTTTTATAAAGAAAGGTTCTCTCAAAATATGAAAGCCTGTATTTCCTAAAATCATGGAAAAACTTATTTAATATATATTGTGTGCCAGCAGTTATTGCTTTTAAGTGAGGAAATACAGAAGAGTTCCCAGTTCTGGATGTCACATGTAGGTGGTGCTGTATGTGGCTGCCTCTCCCTGCGTTTAGAGATGAGAATAATAACAGTAGTTCCTATTTGTGAAGAACTTTATAATTTACAGAGGACTCTGAAACAGTTTTCTTAATCTTCTCTTTGACAAACATATTAATAAATAAGTATCAATAAATGTTTTCAACCTACAAATGAAACTCAGTCTTGAGTTACTGAGGGTCTGTCACAAAGCTAAGTGCAACAGTAGACTTACATAGTATTCTGAATCTAAGTCCACTGTGACTCATTCCACATTTTATCATGGTTGTTTGTATGTGGTAGCTGTGAATAGCATTTTCTGCCCCATCTGCTACCAGAAAGGTGAGAACACACCAGTATTAAATGACCACTTCAACAACTCTAGAACACAAGTGACAGAAGAGGTGTAAAATTTAATGCTGCATTTACTGATTTCCTGCTTCTGCTTTAATGTGGTCATCTTAATAATGATTCTAAGTTGTAATGTGTAGTGTTTTTGCAAAATTTAGCTGCTAATTTGACTAAAAAGACTGAATTGTCTTTCCAATTTGTATTATATTTTTAATAATTACTTAACCTTACCATATAATTTAATTAACAAAAATATAATACATATTTGTAATGTGTCTTTTGACATGGTTGTTTTACAAATGAAAAATAGGACATCTTAAGATATCTGTGAAGGGAAGACATGCTAAGTTTGTTTTCCTCAACTCATTTTCCCTCCCCTCTCCTCCCCCACCCCCCCAATTCCTAGGCTTCCTCCCTAGAGGTTCAGAAGGCCCAATTAGAAGGTCGATTGGAAGAGAAAGAGTCGCTGGTGAAACTTCAGCAAGAGGAGTTGAACAAACACTCTCATATGATAGCAATGATCCACAGCTTAAGTGGAGGAAAAATAAGTCCAGAAACTGTGAATCTCAGTATATAGACATTGTGTATTTATCTTCCAGGGGAGGTGTGGTAGGGAAGGTAATTTGTGACTCCGGAACAATAGTCAATTATTATCTAATTATTAATTTAGTAAAGAACCTGATCTGATAAATATTTTTATTTGGTCTTAAAAGTTTTACTTCTTGTTTCTGGCTTTTATTGCTTAAAGCTTCTTTGGTTCTTCTATTAGAATGTTCTTCTTGACCGCCATTATTGTTTTTCTAAGCTTTTTCCTCTTTTTCTTGGTTGTTTTCCACTTCTGCTTTTTAATTTATTCTCATTTGTGATTAGATTTTAAAGTCAAACTTTCTTGATATAACCTCCTAGAGATTAAGAAATTGAAAATATAATTATTAGTATAAAAGAAGGCATGGCATTGCCAGAGAAGTTTTTCTCTAAATAACACAAAAGAAAATTCACTAAACTTAAAATAATTGTATTATTGCATTTAAGATGCAGTCAGATTTATGGTATTAGTTCTAAATTTGAAAAAAAATGCAGTGAATAGTTAGAGAAATAATATGAAAAAATAGAAAATATCTGTGTTAAATGAATACATTGTCACATCTTAAAAAGCTATTTGTAGAATTATTAATGAGTAGCCATAGTGTTTTACTCTTTTTAAAATATACCATGTTGATCTGCCCATATCATTTCCAATCCATTATGAATTTCTTTTGATTTATACAAGGATAACTTGGATTCTGCCCTTGCTACATAGTGAGACATTTATGATTTGTTGATTCTAATGTGAATTGCATTTAATTTCTTTCATTTAAATAGTTTTTAATTTGGCCATTTAATTTTAAGGCATAGGTTAAATATCCTTGTTCATGTATCTCTTTAATACAAGAGAATTTTTCAGTACGCTTCATTTGTTTTTTGTTGTTGTTATATTTTATTTACTAATGGGAGACAGAGAGTCAGGGAGCCCGATGCAGGACTCAATCCCAATACTCCAGGATCACACACTGGGCCAAAGGCAGATGCTCAACCACCGCACTGGGCCAAAGGCAGATGCTCAACCACCGAGCCACCCAGGTGCCCCAGTACTCTTCATTTGAATCAAATGTTGTAAATAGTGTTTAAGAATAGTTTTTGTATCCATATTTTAGTTGGTTTTATTGCTATAGTTTCCAACCATTAATTTTGCTTGATGTTTTCTTCCCTGTTTATATCTTCATGTGACTTAAGTGAATTTAGATTTACTTCTATTTTTCAATTATAGTATATCTGAATTTATGTTTAGAAGTTAAATATATTTTCATAATTTGCTAATTACATTAAGTATCAAACTATCATAGTTTTACATTTTTGAATACATGTATAGTTCTGCAAATTTTTTTAAAAAGCATTGTACAGAGTAACACATTTTAGGTTGCTACTTGTTCTATAAGGGGTACATTCTGTTTCTCTTTTGAAATTGCAGGGATTTTCATTTTTATTTGAAAACAGTGTTTAAATGGATAGAGATGACTGAAGAACAAAAGGCTCTGTAAAGTAAAAAATTTCTGTAAAATAAATAAATGAACCAAAAGCTCTAAGGAAAATCAAACTATCTTGACAGTTTAGACACTTTCGAGACACTGAGCCTAGCCCAGTGCTGCCCAATAGAAATTTTTGTAATGTTGGAAATGTTCTATGTACTGTCCAGTATCATAGTCTTTAGCCACATGTGATTTTTAAGCACTTAAAATATGGCTAGTGCAACTGAAGAATTTAGATTTTAATTGCCATACTGCTGGACAGTGCAGACCTAGTCCATTCTTGCAAGAATGCATTTATTTAAGGTACTCAATTTGCCTATTCTTAAAGACCCATATAGACAGAGACTCCATATATTTTTTAGCAGCCTTTTTTTTTAATACAACAGTTTTAATTGTTGTATTGAAGTCATTCCTGATGTGTCTCTAAAGAGAAAAATAATTTAGCTTTAAAGGTGAGTACTAATCATCCTCTTCATTTCTTCTGTTTATCCTAGTCTGTCTCTTACAGCCTCTTTCATATGGTTTCTATTATTTTTCTTAACCTTAGTATGTTGAGCACTTTTTTATTTGTTTGCTTCTTAGGTCTATGTACCTCAGGTTAAAATAACAAGGGGTATGTGTGTGGGGGGGGGTATTTTCTTTCTTTAAAACAAATGATTTCTTTGTGTCCATGTGTGCATAACCATTTCCTAATAGAAAAAGTAGAACTAAATAATGCATCATTGTCCTAAAATTGTTCAGATTCTCTAAAAATTTTGCTATGAAAAGTTTGTCCAAGTGTATATTAGCACAGTTCCTTTTGCCATTTACATTTGCCACTTGAGTAGACATGGACTACTCTTAAAATTTGGCTGATTGAAGTTTATACTAAACTGTCTATTTAATGTCAGGGCAAAAACAACTACTTGTTAAAACTTAATGCTGTGTTTTGGGGGAAAATGATCAGATTAGTGTCCTTTTAGTTGTATTTATTTGTTATAAGGCTACTTATTTATGTGAAGGATATAATGAGACTCTGTCTTGAGTTAGGATTCTTAGTTAAATGAGAATGTTTGACTTTCAACTTCCACCTGAAACTCATTCACATATGTTAAGGTACCTCTAATCAAGGTATATTCCTTAAAACTCATAACCTTTAATTTGATTCTTTTCCTCTTTTCAGATAGTTACAAATTGTGTTTACAGCCTTGTTTCTGATTTATCTACTGATGAACGAAACACATGCCCTGTACAAAGTAATTAACTTTGTAGGAGTCAATAAACATTTCTGTAAATGGCCAGATAGTAAATATTTCAGGCTTTATGAGTCATAGAGTCTCTCTTACAACTATTCAATTCTGCAACTGTAGCAAGAACACAGCCATAGATAGCATATACATGAATAGGCATGGTTGTGTTGTAATAAAACTTTATTTACAAAAACAGTCAAGCCTTTACTATTGGGTGCTATATCTTACTGATTAATTAGCCCTTTTATCATTAAGAAATGTGTCTATCTTTGGTAAACTTTGTCTTAAGTCTATTTTATTTGATATGAATATAGCCACTCCAGCCTTTTTATGTTTTATGCTGGCCTGGTATATATTCTTCTATCCATTTACTTTTAACCTGTGTTGTTAGATTAAAAAACAAAGACCGAAGTTTTATAAATATCTTAGCAATTAAGTCCTTAACTTTCACAGTCCATTTGGAGTTAATATTGTACTACTTAGTATAAAATGTAGAAATCCTACAATTGTGTTGGCCCTTTTACCTTCTCATCCCTTATGCTACAGCTGACACATATATCTATATTATTAAACCCCAAAACAATGTTATGACTTTTGCTGTAAACAATTATATGGAAATAATCTGGCTCTCAACATCATAATATATTTACCTATTTACTCACAACAATACACACAAGTAGTATCTTCCTTATAACACTATTTTTCTCTTTTGAAATAATAAGTACTTGTAAGGAGATACTGGAAATACAAGGTTTCTTCCACTTTTGACCCTCTAGTTTCAGCCTCCATTGATAATCCTTGCTTGAATTAGTTGTTACTCTGATGGTTGCCACCTTTTTTTTTAATGGAAGAAAACAGAACATTTTGCTAACATATGATAATACTGGGATTAGTAAACAAAATTACATCTATTACATCATTGACCAAACATACTATTTATAGTTTTACAGTTAATAGAATATGTACTTTTTTGTATACATATTCTCACAAGCCAAGAATATGAGATTTGCTTTCTGTAGCTTAAGAAAATAATAAGTGTGTTGAGCATATGGAATATTTTTTCCAACCACAGGGTGGTTTGAATCTTATTTTCCTTCCCAAACCCCCTAATTTGAGAATTGTTCACTTGCGTTGGCCCTCTGGAATGATCACCAGTAAATATTAACCACATTTTACCCGTAATGATAAATAAGTCTCTTGGATTAAGAAACCAACTATATATTTTCAGCATTCACTGAGTTTGCATTCAAGATAATTAATTTTTAAAAATGAACAAATAAAAATATGCCTTTCAAAGGTAGAGTTTATTTTTTAGAACATGAATAATTAACCTCTTACATACTTGAAATTGTATGAGAGGAATACATTTAGAGGAAACAAAAAATTAAAAATTCAAGGGTTTCTTTGAATCTGCAAATTACTTTGAAATCTTAAAAAATCTTACTCTGTTCAGCATTTTGTAGCTAATTGACTTTCTTCCTGTCATGCAAAGATTGAAGCTTGTTTTGTTTATGCTTGTGTTCATCTAAACATTTCAAAAATACCCTAAGAAAACTTAATTATCACCATGAATGAGAGGTATCCTAATTACCAGAAACCAGCTTTTTCACATTATAATACAAATAGCCCATCATAAAGGTCATTAGATGTGAGAAGTAACTTTCTTATCAACTAAATACACATTTTTTAGTTAGCTTAATTTCCCAAGGACCCAGTGTTTATATGTTCTTGGTATCTCAAAAAAAAAAAAAAAAAAAAAAGGATAATCCTAGGATATACAGCAAAGGGCTTTTTAAGTATGATCTAGCCAGTGCTGCATAAGAAAGTGACATTTTCAAAGTCAATAGAGTAGGTTGGGTTACAGTTTCATTATATTATTAAAAACTAATTTTCCACTAAGTAGCTGGGCATTTGGCAGGGATTTAGTAGTGAACATGATTCTCCCTCTTCATTACATTATCTACACTATTCCAAGAATTCATCTCACTAATCTCAAAGAGCCAAAAGATACAATGTATTAGAGTAGTCTTATACTTTTCTCAAACTTCAAGTAAAAGGATTTATGATTAGCCCTAGGAAAAGACAACACTTCATGTTCAATTAGGCAGTGTTTTCGTTTACCCACAAATAAAGGCTAGTATTAACTACTACACACTAATTTGTACAAAGCCCACAGTTAATCAGAGCATGTTAGAGCTGAAAGGATTCTTAAAAAACAGTAAACCGTGTGTTTCAAAAAGATTTAAACTTTATATTTTCAGAAAAGCCCGCTGATTCAAACACATACTGATCTAAGTATGTGATTAAAAAATAAACATGGATTGTGGTCAGTTTCACTTCTAGGAATTTATCTTAAGGGTGTGCACTAAGATTTAGGATGTGCATTACAACACTTTATTGTACCACAAAATTCAAAACAACCCACGTATACAGCTAAAATATATTCATTAAAATAACAGCCTTTTTAAAAAATATATTGAAATATATGGGCACATAAAGATCCCTGGTGTGTTATGTAGAAAAAGCATGAAATCAAATTATTTGTAAGCAGTGATTCACATACCTGCATATCTTTAAGATATATAGGTGTGTATAAATATGCAATACATAAATATAAATGGGTAAACGGTGGTTGTCTTTGAATAAATTGATTCCGGTTTTTACATCCTAAAATTTGTAACTAAACGTTACTTTTAAATTTTTGAAATTGTTTTAAAACATGAGTTTTGTAACCACATCAAAATTTAACTTCTGGCTTTACTTAAGTAAAGTTTCATCTGTAAGATGAAGATAATGCAGACTTTATAGATGTAATTTTTAAATTTTTCTTAGAAATACAAAATAAGAGGGCACCTGGATGGCTCAGTTGGTTAAGCCTCCAACTCTTGGTTTCAGCTCAGGTCAGGATCTCAGGATAGTGAGATCTGACCCCTGCATGGAGTCCACAACTTAGCACAGAGTCTGCCTGGAATTCTCTCTACCTCTCCCTGTGCCCCTCCCCCCACTCATGTGCTATAAAAAATAAATAAAATCTTAAATACAAAATAAAGCTAATGGCTTTTAGCAGTTTCTTAGTGAATGTTTTTCTCCCTTTTTGGAGGGAAATAGGGTACCAACCTTTATTTCCTTTATCCCTGGTTTCTGATTTTTCCTCATCAAACCTGTGACTAATTGTAGAAAGTAAAATTCTTTATTTCCTTTATCCCTGGTTTCTGATTTTTCCTCATCAAACCTGTGACTAATTGTAGAAAGTAAAATTAACAGTAAAGATTCTGCATTTTCTAGGGCAGAACAGGGTAGCAAGGTTAGGACGAGGAGTTAAATAAATCTTCAAAGTATTCTAGGGTGACTTTGACCAAAGCTAATCTAGGTTGTCCTTTTACCTAATTTATTTCTATGAAAATAGCTATTCTCAGCAGTGTTAAGTAAACATTTTTCTCTTTGAAAGAGACATTTTCATAACTTTAACTCTGCCTTCTCGGGTGTCATAGCCTTTTCCAACTGATGAATATACCTACAGAATTCATTAAGAAATTGTACAGTATTTTCTTCTTTAATTTCCTGGAAGAGATTGAGGAAAGGGCACAGTTGAGAAGTTTGCCAAATTTTAATAACAAAATAGTATGTCTAAGACTTGGATGCTTTTATATTCTTAAGTCTTTTGACAGATTTATGGGCGCTAAGAGCAAACAGGCTTTAAAAAGATACTTGGCTGCTTAAGCTACCACATATTTATAATAGCTTCATTCATTTTCCATTTAATATAAATTAGAGTTTTCCTAGTCCACGTTAATATTTCTATTTAGAAACGTCATTTTTATATCAGCCCCTTAAAAAGTCCAAAAACACTAGGGCCATGTATCCCAAAGTAAAGATTTATGCATGTGTTTGCAGAAAAAAAAATTGAAGCAGTTATAAGAGCAAGGAATAAGAATATCAGAAATTTGTAGAGAATTTAAGAGGAGAGAGAACATAGTTAAAGATGCTGGAGCCTGGCTTTGTAAAAAACTAAGCAAGGTCACCTGAACCATTAGAGTTGCAGTTCATGTGAATACCCTGGAGATTAGACTAATTGGAGCTATGTCTTGAATTGCTGCTATCTTTGAACTACTAATCTAAATAAGAGACTTGAGTTGTTGGTGATGTGCATTGATCCAAGTAGTAAAATGTCTCAGTAATGATACAATATTAACCAAATGTATTTATGTCCCTTTTTCATCTGTGGGCAATAGTAACCCCTTAATTTTAACAACTGTAAGTGGAATTCTCTACTTAGGAATGAGGTCAGGGTAAGGAATAGATTATATAAGCACATGATTATGAAATTCAGAATTTAAGAAAAGATACATGGACTTCCAGTTTCTACTCTCACAAGCAAATCACTTGGAAATTGTTTCTCCCAACCTCACAATAAAAAAAAATGGTGAACAAACTAAAAATGACTATTCAGATTCATCAGAGAATTGAGATCACAGGACTAACCACTACCTCAAATTGGAGAGACATGTGAATCCAGAGAATGCAGATCAACTTATCTGAAGCACAGGCATGGTAAGAACACTTAAATAGTAACTTTGATGAATTGCTAGAGGCTTATGTGAACTAGTTTGAGGATTAATCACTAGGAACACCCATACTTTTATAGTGTCTTTCCTGAATTTTAACTTTGGGAGCCTCCTCAGCTTCTAGTGAAGATCAGAGAAAACTGCTCTTTGGCTGGGGAGAAAGAAAGTAATCCTTTTGAAACTTGCCTGGAGCATTCATTCTCCATAACCCAACAAAGGCTTACCCAATAAAGAAAAGCTCTGGAGCCTTTTCAGACTAGGAAAGAAAACTACCCAACTCCAGTCCATTCAAACCTTCAAGGCTCAACTAAGGGAGAAAAATTTCTGAGAAGTATTTGTTACGATTACTGCCCTGAGGCACAGGCCCACTGGATGAAAATGGTTGTCACTACTGAGCCTATGAATATGAAAAGGATAATAAGGGAATATTATGAACATCTCTATGTCCACAAATATGATAACTCAGATGAAATAGACCAATT